TGCGGTACGCGGGCCTCTCACTGTTGTGGCCTCTCCCGTTGCGGAGCACAGGCTCCGGACGCGCAGGCTCAGCGGCCGTGGCTCACGGGCCCAGCCGCTCCGCGGCATGTGGGATCCTCCCGGACCGGGGCACGAACCTGTGTCCCCCGCATCGGCAGGCGGACTCTCAACCACTGCGCCACCAGGGACGCCCTGTAATGCTTCTTTGATTGTATATTAAATTTTACTAATAGGGTCTTCTTCAGGTGTATCTTATACCCACCATTGGTCTATTGATCTTTGCACCCTTAAGTTACTGTTTTTATTGTTGTAACTTTCTCATGTGTTTTAATATCCCAAATGGCAAGTAACCCTCACTGCTCCTTTTTCCCCAAAGTCTTAGGTATTCTTATCAATTTATTCTTTCAGGTAATCTTTGGCATCATTCAGTTGAATTTTGGGGGTGGCATTAAACTCATGAAAATTTGGGGAACTCTAACTTATTTAAAAATCTAATTTACACTTAGAAGCACAGTGTGTCTTCCCATATTTTTTCCTTCTCCTTCACATCTTCCTTAAGTGAATCACGATTGTTGTTTACTGCTACATTTCTCCCACTGGTGACCCGTCAGTACTCTGGGGGCAGAGGCAAGATCGTCCAAGATGCTTTTACCCTCAGGAATGAACACAACACTGGGTGTGTTGCTGGGCTCATACAAACCTCCCCTGAGGACACACGTAGGCACATACTAGAAACTAGTGTCCTGAGCTGTCCCACTGTCCCTCTGTCCCTCTGGGGAGGCTGGGCGTTTCCACCTGGTGAGGGAGTCCTTTGTTTCCCCGGCTTTCAGGAGGCACCTACCTGAGCTCTGTGGGCTGCCTGGAGCCCACCCAGGGGTGAGGGGAGGCTCTGGGCCCACCGCAGCCAGCAGAGCTCCACAGTAATTTATTCTATAAATTAGGTTGCTGCGTAAGATTTCATTTTACGAATGATGCCTCTGCTTATAAATATTTGAAATCTCATACCTTAGTGCAAAAGACTCAACGTTTAGTAATGAGATTAAGAGCCCAGATCCAGGAAGGGAGATATGTACAATCTGGAGATTCTTCTGGCAGCCCCGGCTTCTACCACGTGGGTGGCCCTAGGATCCCCTTACACATAAAACCTCAGCGCCCTTGAGCTCTTTGAAAGGGAAGTGGGGGTGATGTAAGTGGAAGTGATCGTGAGGTGTCTCTTGTTCCCCTGGAACATTCCAGTGGAGCAGTCTCCTGTTGGTAAGGAAGAGGGTGAGGATACCTCTGGTGGATGGGTGGTCTGGACAACATGAGGTCACCCAGAGTCTCCCCTGCCAGCGATGGAGGTGGAAGCAGTGTCTTCACCTCTGCAGAAGCAGCAAATGAGAAGATCCTCTTTTTAAAAATATTTATTTTATTTATCTATTTTTGGCTGCGTTGGGTCTTCGATGCTGCGAGCGGGCTTTCTCTAGTTGCGGCGAGCGGGGGCTGCTCTTTGTTGTGGTGCGTGGGCTTCTCACTGCAGTGGCTTCTCCTGTTGCGGAGCATGGGCTCTAGGCGAGCAGGCTTCAGCAGTTGTGGCTCGCGGGCTCTAGAGCGCAGGCTCAGTAGTTGTGGCACGTGGGCTCAGTAGTTGTGGCTCGCAGGCTCTAGAGTGCAGGCTCAGTAGTTGTGGCGCACGGGCTTAGTTGCTCCGCGGCATGTGGGATCTTCCCGGACCAGGGCTCGAACCCGTGTCCTCCGCATCGGCAGGCGGATTCTTAACCACTGTGTCACCAGGGAAGCCAAGATCCTCTTTTTCTGATGGCTTCAGAGAGCATGTGTGTGTTTCCTGGAGAGAGGGGCAAGTTCACAACAAGAGCCCGATCCTTTTTCCTTCCACCAAAGGAATTTTCATTCTTTATCTGCTATTGGGGCCGAGTTCATTTCCGGCAACACGAGATCGGCAAGCCCAGGGGTCTTTGAGGGGTCTTGCTTTTGAAAGGAATGCAGCCCTTTCCTCTCTCTTCGCTTCAGCCTGCCCTGATAGGAGCTGGCTCTTCCCTCTTATGAATCCTCCAGAGAAATGGAAATAGCAGCCCCAAGTCTTAAAACAAAGTCCTTTGATCTAAATGTTGCAGGAAATAAAACACCTTTACAGTTATGGAGTCCAGACAGGGATGCATTTCCAGGGGTCCCTGAGCGGTGCTCCTGCCTTCGCTCGTCAGGGCAGCATCCCCAATCCTGACTGACACGGCGAGTCTTCTCGCGCAGCCTGGCTCTCCTCCCTGTGCACAGACATCTGTGAGTGATTCCATGGGCGATGTGCACCCTCGCGGCCCACGCCCCTTTTATATCCTATCACTTATCGCCAGGACGATTGCTGCAGCCTCTGATGCCTCCCCTACCCCGGCCTCTTCCCGCTCAGATCCGTCCTCCCCCACACAACAGACACGCTGTCTGAAATCCGTGTAAAGTGTAGACACTGCCAGAATCAGCTGCGGATAGACAGCCGGAGCAGGGGCTGCTCGCCAGGGGCTGGCCTCTGGGTACCGGGAGCCGAGCTGATTCTGATTAGGGCTCATCCAGCATCGTGTTCTGTCCACATGGAAACAGAATTCTGTACAAGGTGCCCCCCAGCCCCAGCCCCGGGCATCTCTACTGGTCAGGTAGCAGGTACCTGGCTGGCATGGGCTGACCTGTGTCTTCCCACCGCACCAAGTTCACATGTAGAAGCCCCGACCCCCAGCACCTTGGAATGTGCTGCATCCTGAGGCTCTTTACATAGGTTAAGTCAGAATGAGGTCACCAGGGTGGGCGTCCTTATGAGAAGAGGGGATGAGGATACAGACACACACAGAGGGAGGACAGCCATGTACACCGCAAGGAGGGGGCCCTCACAAGAAACCCGGTCTTGATCTCAGCCTCCAGGCTCCAGAGGTGTGAGGAGACAGATTTCTGTTGTTTAAGCTGCCTGGTCTGTGGTTCTTTGTTAAGACGGCCTGCACTGACTAACGCCCCGGTCAAGTAGCCCTCGAGAAGTTCCTTAACTTTCTGAACGTGTACAAAGGATTCGCTGAGGTTTCCTGAACCCTCCCATTCCTGGGGAATGTGTGTACAGCAGCGTACAAGGATTATGGCACGAACTCCACAGCCCGTGGAGCTGTCTGGACGCCTCTAACAAACAGGCTCTGAGGGGTGAACCTCGGAGGTTTGATTAGCTGGTCTGGGGGGCGGCCTGGGCTTCGGGCTTTCACCAGCCCCCAGGTGAAACACGACTGATGTTTCATCCGGGGCCGGGTGGAGGGCGGACGCTCTGGAGGACATTGCCTGTGTTGTGCGCCAGTTCCCAGGTCTCCCCGTCAGGAGCCCGCTGTCCCCACAGGGGTGACCGGGACCTGTCTGCCAGCTGGACACTGTCCTCCATGCGGCCAGACCTCCCCGGCGGCCTGTGTCTGCGAGGGGCTCTGCAAGGGGACTGAAAACGCTTGTTGGCTGGAAGACTCATTTCCCCTGCTGCGGGAACAGTGTTCTCACAGGCCACACACGCAAAGTTTAAAAAGTAACCACTTTATTGGGTGTCTCCAGTTTGTGAGAGATTCATTGAGCTCCACGCTTACAGCCGGCACCCTTCTCTGTCTGTATAGTGCACTTTAGTAAAAGGTTTCCAAAGGTAATTATTATTTCTCTGTAACCAAGCGTATTTTTGGAATCAAGGCTCCACAGAGCCTGATAACTGAAATGTAACCGAATGTCTTCCATATTGACCCTGGTGTTTAAACCTTCAGTTCAGGGGTCCCCTCGAGTCTCCCCAGGCCGGGTCTCAGCTTGGCAGGGACAGGGGTGGGGAGAGGGGTCCCTCGGATTCTCCGTGTCTCTGCTGGCCTCCCTCTACGGGCGGGCATTGGGCATGCATCCCAGCTGGGCTGTCATCCTGCCAGCAGCCCGGGTCCTGGCACTACCTGTAAATAAATCCCAGCCTGGGGGCAGGGGCGGCAGGTCTCTGCATCCCCGGCTGGGATGGGACAAGGTGCGGTGTGAGAGCCTCGGAACGCGGCTGAGGGCCAGCTGCCTGGGAAGCTCCTGCTGAGGGGAAGGCGGCGAAGACGTGGTGGGTGGACCAGGTGGAGCTGAGGGCCACGGTGACGGCCAGCACGGCACAGGGACACCAGGGGTCCCCACAGAGAGTGTGCGGACAACCGTCAGAGGGGGGCACCGGTGCGGTTTCCGCAGCCCCTCACCACCCTCTCCTCCCCAGTACTCCCCGGCCTGGAGAACCGTCGGGGTGGATGGGCAGAGGAGGGACAGGTGGGGAAGCAGACCAGCCCCTCTGCTCTGCCCGGCTGAGGGTCAGGCCTGAGCTGCGGGTGGCGGGAAGCTTTAAACGGGATGAGAAGTTCAGGTTTTCATTTAGACCCGAGTGGACTGGTCGGGTGGGGAGGGAGAACCGCCGGCATGGGTGCGAGGACAGTGCAGCAGCTCTGATGCCCCCTCCCTGTCGCTCATGCAGGGCCCAGTGGCCCCTGCACCTCCGCATGGATGTGGCCGGGTGCCCCCTGCCCACGGGATCCCGGAATCAGAGACCCCAGCTGACCGCGCAGCCCGTGACCTCCAGAGAGGATTCCGGGGGTCCCCGCAGACCCTCCACTCAGCACCCCTGCTCCCTGAGCCCCGTCATCTGCGCGGAAGCCCGGGGGGCCTCCTGGGCCCCCTGCGGATGGGCTCAGCGCTGTGTGTGTGAGCGGACAGGCCCTGCTGAGAACAGAGGAGGGGGCGCCTTCACAGCAGCCCAACCCACCGACGGGCTCTGTCCCGATTCTCCTGTGTGTCCCAGGCCCTGGCTGTCCTGCTGACGTGCTGTGGGCCCTCTGGGCACCTGGAAGCTCTGACTCCGAGCGCTGCCCACGGCTGAGGGTGGAGTTGGGGTCGCGCTTCCCCCAGGCTGGGTGGTTCGTGGCCCAGTCTGCCCGGGCGCTGGGTGACACCCGCTGCGGACCTCCTCCCACCCCCATCCCCGCTCCTCTGCACTCTCGCTGCTGTTGGGGGGTCATGTTTCCCAGGACAAGCCAGCTGGACGAGCGCTCCACCCCCGGTGCTACGTTCTCCCTAACCTGGATTAAGTCATGCTTTGTCCCTGGATCAGCTGGCACTGGGCAGCAGGTCCACGGCCTGCAGGCTGCCCTGGCCCTGGGTTCCCCACTGTCCCACAGGTACCACAGGTCCCGGGGGTCCTGGGGGGGCTGATCTGCTCACCCCGGGCCTCCGGGGCTGCAGCTGCACCCTGTTCTGTTCCAGCTTCCAAGGCCTCTTCTGGGAGCCCCTGGGGGCCTCCTCAGCCCTGCCTTCTACCCTGATCTCTCTAACAGGTGGGGAGGGGCTAAAGAACGCACCGCCTCCGCCGCCCACCGGGTTGGGGGAGGTAGGAAGTGCCAGAGTCGCAGGCCAAGCTGCACGTTTGGGCTCTTCCTGATTCTCCTCTGCTTCTTTGCTTCCAGATTCTCCTCTGCCTCTTTGCTTCCTGATTCTCCTCTGCTTCTTTGCTTCCAGATTCTCCTCTGCCTCTTTGCTTCCTGATTCTCCTCTGCCTCTTTGCTTCCTGATTCTCCTCTGCCTCTTTGCTTCCTGATTCTCCTCTGCCTCTTTGCTTCCTGATTCTTCTCTGCTTCTTTGCTTCCTGAGTCTCCTCTGCTTCTTTGCTTCCTGATTCTTCTCTGCTTCTTTGCTTCCTGATTCTTCTCTGCACCTTTCATCTTTATTAAAATATTTACAAAACCAGCCCACTATCCAGAGCAGGCTTCAGAGCCAGAAGAATTGAAATATAGCCCCTGCTTCCTCACTCACCTGCTGTGTTACCTGGTACAGTTCGCTTGGCCTCTCTGAGCCCCTCTCTGCCTTTTTAGGAGATCATAACACTTCCTCAGGGCGTAGCTGTGAGGACGAAATTAGATCTCACGCCCCAAGCACTGAACACAGGCCGCAGCCATATGCTGGGGCGGCATCTGCTCAGGAATCCTGCTTGGCCAGGAGCAGGGGGTTAAGTGCACGGACTGAGCTGCTATCAGGGTCTTTGAGGAATAGAACAATGTGGGGGGCATTTAGTCCTCTACGGATAATTTCTTCTGAACAGAAACAGTGTGTGAAGCCAAAGAGAGGGAGACCTCCCTTTCCAGAAGCGTGTTATTGAAGCCAAGCCCCGGTGAGGTCTGCCCATGTGCAGGTGCCGGCAGGCCGTGTGGCCTCCCATGGAGCGCCCTCTGCAGGGCCACCCTTGCCCCCACTTCCCCACCGAACTTGACCTCGCTCGCCTGCCCGCCGGGGAGGAAGGAGGTGACTTTGTAAGGCTTTCTCTTTGGAAAAATAAGAGCTGTGGGGAATGACATTAATTTAAAAGCTTTTAAAGAGTCAATTCACCTGTGAAAGTGCTCCCCAGGTGAGAGCCTTCCTGTGTGGAAAACAGCCCGGTCTTTAAAAGGATTTTAATTAATGTTGCTGAGAAACGTACCAATGGCACTTAAGGCTGAAAGCTCGAGAGCTAAGGTGCCAGCCAAGAGTTTTATGACGGGGAGCGAGTTGTCTTAAAGGCAGTTGAAATAATATTCCCATGCACTCAGCCTCGGCACTCACCTCTGGTCACGGCCAAATATAAGTGCCAGAATCCTTGGCGGCCTGACTCCCAAGCCCCCAGACGACACAGGCTCTGCCAGGACCTACCTGGTTGAACTGCAGAGGTGTTTTCAGGGACACGGCGCCTCCTCGCCCTTCGGGGACACACCTTGCTGGGCCGCCCAGCGCGGCTCAGATCTGACCTGGATCTGATCCGTCGTCCAGCTGGTGCCAAAGCCGGAAGTGGACCTGGAGGAGGGGCGATGGAGGGCGAGGGATGCAGATCCGGGACGGCCCATCCGGACGGTGGGCTCGAGCTGCAGATGGTGGAGTGGTCGTGGCTGGAGACCAGGGGCCCTGGGTGTGTTGGAGCAGCGCTGGTGGCAGCAGCTCCGCCCCACGGATGGCTGTGCAGTGACGTGAGACGTGCCTGCGGCTGTTCCTCCTGGGACGCTTGGCCGAGGGGCTGGGACAGGGCGGGCCTGGGAGTCTCTCTTCTCTGAGCCAGGGGTGAGAGAGATGGTCTCCAGGCTGTGGCTGCAACATTCTAGGAGGTGTCGGGGTCTGGACTGGCCGGGAAAGGCCTCCTGCTTTCCTCACGGTGGGTCCTGGGGACCGGCCTGGGCCCAGCGTGCCAAAGGCTCTCCTCTTTATTCACGTTTTACTGTTTCCTGGAGAACTCTCCCCAGGATGAAGTTACCTTCCCAATAAATTCTTACCACCACTTCTTGCTTCCTGAGGGACAGCACAGCTCAGTGAACAAAAGCACGGAGCCAGAGGGCACAGGTTCAAATCCTGGCCGTGCCACTTACTAGCTGGGTGACCTGGGGCAAGTTACTTCACCTCTCTGTGCCTCAGTTCCTCCATCTTTAAAATGAGGACAAGAATAGCAACCCCTTCATGGGGTTGTGGTGAGAAATGAGTCAATATAAATAAAAACAGTGCCCAGAATGTTGTAAGCAAGCACTTCAGTCCTGCTAATAGCGCTGTTCTGGAGAAAAGGGAAACGTGACCCGCAGCCCGAGGCCCCCATCCTGTGACGGAGTGAGAGAGGGGATGTATCAGTCAGGGATGGGCTAGGTCAAGTGTGGTAACAAACACACCTCAGATCTCAGCGGCTTAAGCAAGATCTCACGGCTTGAGCAACAGACACTCGTTTGCCATTCACCAGGCTGGCCACTTGGTGAGGGACTCAGGCTTTCGAGGCTTCCCTGTCTGGACCCCGTGGGCTAGGGTGGCACGGGAAGTGGGCTCATTGAAGAGCCCACTCACTGGCTCTTCATTGCTTCCTGTGGAGGGGACTCAGGGTGCTTCTGCCCACATCTAATTGGTCAGAGTGAGTCACATGCCTCCTGCCTTCCAAATCTACCATGTGGCCGGCCAGCAGGAGGAGAACCAGAAGTGCCGAAGACCTAGTGCCCCAGGCCCTGCCCTTCAGCTGACCAGGGGCTGAGCCTGGGGGCTCACTTAGGCCTTGCACTGTGATGGCCCCTGTGCCAGGAGGCAGTGCTGGGGGCTCTGTGGGTCCCACCTGCCCCCTCCTCTCAGACCCACCAGCCTTTCTCCTCCTTCCTGCAGGTACCCTCACCTCTCCCTGTCTTCCTGCTTGCCAATCTCCCTTCTGATTCATTGTGTACATTGCCTTTCCGATACGCGCATCCTGTCGCTTCTGCTATGGGCTGGATGTTTGCATCCCCCCAAGTTCCTATGCTGGAACCCTAATTCCCAATGTGATTATGGGGGCCCCATGTGAGGAGGTGGGGCTTTTGGGAGGTGAGTAGGGTTATATGAGGTCATGAGTGTGGGTCTGTTGCAGGAAGGGGGACCTCTTCCAGGGCCCGAGAGTGGGCTCTTGTCTAACACTTGGAAATGAATTGTCCGAGGAGACACACGTGCTGGCAAAGCAGGGGACTCTATTGGGAAGGGCCGCCCAGGAGGAGAGCAGGAGGGTGAGAGGACCCAGGAGGACTGCTCTGCCGCGTGGCTCCCAGTCTGGGGTTTTATGGTGATGGGGTTAGTTTCTGGGTTGTCTCTGGCCAATCATTCTGACTCAGGGTCCTTCCTGGTGGTGTGTGCATGGCTCAGCCAACGTGGATTCTGGCGAGAAGGATTCTGGGAGGTTGGTAGGACATATAGACTGGTGTCTACTTTCTCTTTTTGACCTTTCCTGAATTCTTCCAGTTGGTGGTAGTTTGTTGGTTCCGATTTCCTTACCTCCTGTAGTAAGACAACTCACGCAAGTGGTTACTGTAGGGCCTGGCCAGGGTGCGTGGTTTCAGCCAGTGGTTCCCTAACAGGTCCACGGTGGGATCGAGGCCCTTAGGAAGAGAGGAAGCCCTCCCTCTCCCTGTACATGAGGGCATTAAGGAAAGGCCATGTGAGGACGTGGCCAGGAGGAGGACTTTCTCCAGAACCCGGTCTCACTGGATCTCATTCCTTGGGGAGCTTTGCTGATTGGCCAAGTCTGAATTCAGTCCTACTGCTTCCCCCCTACCTGGTCCCCCAGCTCTGCTCTCAGACCTGCCCACCGGCAGCTTCCACACTGCGCTCGCATCCCAAGAGGACAGAGACATGTTTGCTGGTCCTCGCTGGGGCCTAGCACAGCGTGGGCAGGTCGAGCACTGACCACTGATGGAGGGAGTGGATGCTTCCTTGTCCCACCAAACTCCAGGGGCTGAGAAAGGTCTTTTTGCTCCTGAAATGTGTGCCCTACAGTTTCGTTTTGGAAGTACTAGATCTTTCTCTCTTGAATATTTCCCTCCCCATCCCCCACAAGACGCCAGGTCTTGTGCAGTCTGGGTGTTGGGGTCCTTGTGCCTGATTTCTGTGTGGGGTAGTCAGTCCCCAGCCACGTAGCACCTCTTCCTGCCATGTGGCATCACTGTCTAGGGCCGGTCGTCCAGGGTCCAACAGGCTGGCTGGTCACCCAGAGGCCCGCTGCCTCCCTGGTCTGGCTCAGAGGACAGGTGGCCTCCACCTTGCTGAGGTGGACAACTTCCTGCTCCTGTGCCCCGACTTATGTTCCAAACCTATATTCCATCATCTCCCCAGAGCCCAGCTCTCTTAGGATGACGGGGCAGTGTGGCCTAGGCTCCAGAACCCAGAGCCCCAGTCGGTCCCCTTTTCTTACCTGAAGATTTACACCTTAAGAGCTCAAGCAGAACTTCCTTTCCTCCTCCCCCAACTTTTATCTTGAAAACTTTCAAACCGGCAGGAAGTCAGAAAGGAGAGAAATAATGAAGACAGATCCCTAGTTGCTAGCATTTGGGGCAGATTTTTCTTTTCAGCCTCAAAGCACAGAAGTTCTGATTCCACCTTTTTTTCCTGGGCAGTGGAGCCCCCTTCCCATCGTCTTCAAGGTCACAGCCCCAGTTGTCTGAGGGGAGACATATTACCAGGCCCCTGCTCATCCCGAGATGCAGGTGACTTTCTAGTAGGACTTTGCTGGCTACAGAGAGAGCAGAGGGCGCACAAACTCATTCTCCATCTCAGAGACACATTGTATTTTCCTTCCTGGGGCTTCCTTCTCAGGCCTTCTCTCCTTTCCCTCGTAGGAACACCCTCTGCTGTCTTTGCTCCAAGCTGTGGTCATGCCCACTCACTTCCTTAGTAACCCGCTCCCTCACAGCCTTACCGCCCTTTCGTCCTTCTTTTCATATTCCTAATACCCTTTCTCCATGCTTCAATCCCAACTGATGTCCTCACTCTGTTTGAAAGTCCTCATTATCAGCAAGAAGCCCTCATCACCCAATTTACAAATTCACCTGCGTCTACACCCACCTGGCTGGCTGCCCACGTGGCAGAGGGTGACGTCTCTCTGCTCTCAGGACCAGCCCTGCTCGCAGACCCCTCTCAGCTGCTGAGGATCTTCACGCCGTCACCACCGAGTCTTCTGCTCTCTAGATCTCGCCCTTAGAAACGTGCTGAATAGCTTGTATCCTGACAAACGCTTTCGCAGCCCCGCGTCTCCCTTCAGCCCTTGCGTCATGTCTCTGTGCTCTTAGACCAAGTTTCTTGAAAGTGTAGCCGACCTGCTCTCTCCTCTCTCCAGTTCCTCCCCCCGCCCCCCTTTGCTTCTCAACCTTCTCCCACCGGCTTCCACTTTCAGCATCATGGAAAGGCTCTCAGGGTCGCGGAAGATCTCCCGGCCCTTCCAAGGGTGAATCCTCGGTGCTCGGCTCACCCAGCGACTCAGCACCTTTGCTCACAACCTTTCCGTGAAACATTGTCTCATTTTGCTCCCAGGATACTCGCCCTCATTTTCTGGCCTCTCCCCGACTTCTTCCCCGGCTCCCAGGCTTTGCAGGCACCTGCCGTGTCCCCCCCAGCCTCTCAGAGTTGGTGTGTATCAGAGCCCACCCCTTCCTATCTCCAGGGGACTCCATCCCAACACTGGCTGTGTACACCTGGACCCAGCGATGACTCTGAATTTATACAAACTTCTCCCCTGCACCCGAAGTTGCCTACTCACCACCTCCAACTCAATGTCTAGCTGGCACCTCAGATTTAGAATTTCCAACCCCGGGATTTCCCTAGGGGTCCAGTGGTTAAGAATCTGCCTTCCAATGCAGGGGACACGGGAACAAAGATCTCACATGCCGCAGGGCAACTGAGCCCACATGCTCTAGAGCCCGTGCTCCACAACTAGAGAGCCCACGTGTCGCAACTACTGAGCCCGAGTGCTCTAGAGCCCACATGCCACAACTCAGAGAAGTCGTGCACTGCAACAAAGAAGCCCACGTGCCACAGTGAGAGATCCTGCAGGCCACAACGAAGGTCCCGCGTGCCACAGCTAAGACCCGACGCAGCCAGATAAATAAATAAATTAAAAGAAAATCCAACCCTGAACCCTTGATTTCCAACCCTGGATAAAGTCCTATTCTTTCCCCTGTGGTCCAACCACACCACCCTTCACCTAGTGCTCGGGCCAAAGCGGCTTAAATCGTAGCAGCCGTTTCTTATCTCCTGAATTCTTGGGTTGACTGGGCTCAGCTGGATGGTTCTTTGGTTCCATCTCGCTCTGGGTGGGGCTTCAGTCAAGTGGAGGATCAAGTGAGGTGGTGTCTCCAGACAGCTCAGCCTTACGGCTGCCAGTTGGTGCTGGCTTTCAGCTGAGGGCTGGAGGGGACAGGGCTGTGAATCAGAGCTCCTTGGTGGTCCTCCAGGTGGCCTTTCTACCCGGCTTGGCTTCTTCATGGGAAGAGCGGCAAAGAACACGGGGCCATCTTTAATCTGTAGTCTTCTCTATGGCCAAAGTTATTTACATTCACCTGATAAACAAAATCCTTTTACCCTGGTCCATTCTGGCATCAGACTCAGGCTTGAGGCCCAGGATTTCATCTCTAAATCAGGTGCAAGTATGGGTGGGGCTCCTTGGTGGAAGCTCCTCCAAAGCAGTAAACTATAAAGGTAATGCTTAGTGTATGGAAACCACAGCAACACCGTTTGTTCTCCTTCATGAGTTTCTGGGTTGACTGTGCTCAGCTGGCTGACTCTTCTGCTCCCCTGGTCTTGGCTGGGCCCTTGTCCTCAGGGCTGGACGTTGGGTGTGGTTCACTTACCTCGCCGGCAGTGGTGCTGGCTCTTGGCTGGGAGCTCAGCAAGGCTACCGGGCAGAGTTCCCTGGTTTTCCCTGCAGGGGCTTCTCCAGATGGATCAGGCTTCTCAAGCAAGAGTGAAAGCTGCAGTTCTTAGGGCCCAACCTTGGAATTTCCTCAGTGTCACTTCTGTCACATGTTATTGGGAAAAGACCCCATCTCTTGACGGAGGAATCTGTGGTCACTTTAAATCCACCGCATTGATCTGCCAGTAAGTCCTCTAAGTTTCATATCTAAAAAACCTATTTATTTACTTTTATTGTGTACACCTATTGCCCTAATCCAATCACCGCCAACCCTAGCTCAGACATGGCGGTGTCCTGCC